CACACACACACACACACACACACACATCCATCCATCTTATTCACAGTAACCGAAGACGCATGGCTCGTGGAAGCGAACCACGCGGTGTACGCTGAAGGGCAATTACCCAACAATGAAACCACTGGGCCCTGTCAGGTTTATGGACACATCTGTCTGTCTAGTCAGACCGCCGCGAAGCGGAACTGACGTCATGCGCGTGAGTTATGAATTTGCACGTGCGTGTACCCGTGGGAGTGTCGTGCTCACCGGAGGGGGTCAAAGACAGGCACCCATCGTTGTCGAAACTGTCTAGAAATGTCAACCTTTGTTGTCAACATTGTTTTGTTTTGTTTCTTTTGTTGGTTTTGGTTTTGGTTTTGGTTTTTTGGTATGTGTTTTTTTTCTTTTTTGTGTGTGTGTATATTTGGGGGTTTTGGGTTGTTGGTTTTTTTTCTTTTTGTGTGTGTGTGTTTTACAGCGCTCGCAATTAGCTGCATGTAGTCATATTATGAGTCCGCGGGACACATTAAACATGTTTTTTCAGTTGGTAGGAAAATTTGAATTTTGCCTGGGTGGCGGCCAACGCCTACTCTTATCGATTTTTTTACCCCCAAAGGATCTTTAACGTGTGCAACGTGCACGCGAGACCTCTAAGATTGTTTGCTCTTATCCGAGAAGGCTAGGTGTTAGATCTTATGACATTGTCATTGATAGCCACCCATTGTTTAGGAGGATGAGAAAAGTGGCTGTGTTAGACATACATGTTGATGCCATGCACGGTGTCATTGAAGTGGGAAGAATAAACGCGAGAGAGGAATAAATGGGAAGTAAAAGTTTATACAGGTTATTGCCTCAACCAAGTCAGGCAGAGGTCAGGGCAGGTTCGGTAAGTTTTGTAGTTTCAGTAGAGGTTTTACGGCGCTCGCAACTACATACGGTCATATGAGCGCCAGAAGATTAGAGGTTTTACAAGAGAGTAACAAACATAAAAAAGAAGGCGGGGAGATAAGGACGATAGCTGTTTGATAGGAAAGAAGAAGAAAACCACATCAGAACACCCGTCAACCACCCATGTTCAGTAAGTGTTTGGGTTTAACGTACCTATCATCGCTGTTAGATTTGTCGTTAGTTTAGTAAGAGTTTTACAGTACTTACAACACATTAAGGCTATAGAAGTGTCGAAGATTTGAGGTGTGCCAAGAGAGTAACAAAAGCAGAAGAGAAGGAGGAAGATGTTTGATAGGAAAGAAGAAGCAAACCGCGCCAAAAAAAAACCCGCCAACCACTCGCTTAAATTATGTAAGTGTTCGATTTCCGAGTAGCGAGATGGTTTTTATTAAATTATATCTTGGTCTTTCTGCTACGATGTTGTATCCTTCTCATCCCGGGTTGGCCCTGGCAGACATAGTCGGAAGCCTGCCACCGAAAGGAACAAAATTATGTCAATGGCGGCGTAAAAAAATAAATAATATGAACGTTAAAAATCCTATGCCGGATTATAGGTCACCAACAGGACCTCTTCAATCCAAGTAAACGATGGTTTAGATTTGTTTTAGTCAGAGTTTAACAGTCCTTGCACTACACAAATAGGCCCTATAAGTGCCAAAGATAGGAGGTGTTACTAGAGAGTAACATAAATACAGAAAAAGAGGGGGGGGGTAAGAAGGATAGATATTTGATTGGAAAAAATGAGTGAACCAAACTAGAGCATCAACCATCAACCATCAACGAAACGAAAGTATGCAGACCACAGAAACTAATCAGGAAATGAAGACAAATCGAAGCGGAAAAAAATCAACAAAAACGAATGTGTAGGCCAAATAAAAATGTATTATTATTCTCTCATACGTGATACATGTATATTATGTAGAGAAGACAAAGATGAATCCATCACTGCCCGGTGAAGCAGAGGACGAACAAAGTGATAAGTTAGGCTCATTAGCAGGGGAAAGTAGACAGGCTTGACAGTGTGATTTGGTCGTTTTTCCCCATGCACACTTTGAGGATCAGTGAAGCGGACGAGTCTTATTGCGAGAGGTGAATTCACGCTAATCCCAAACCATACGCAAGCTGCCATGCGTAAAAAGTACTTAGAGTTAGAGTAGAGTATAGTGTTATGGACTAGGAAGGGTGGGGG